CAGGCCGGCCATCCTCACAAGCTTGAAGACTGAGGAGGACCCCAGCATAGCTGGCTAGCCAAGTTGCCTGCCTTATTTTTGGTAAATTGCTTTTTTATTTATGTATTTATTTATTTTTTAGTATCTGTTTTTGTTTTTATTAATCATAAAAAACAGATAATAAATAAATAAATAAATACTTAAATAAAATTATTTTACTATTCATCTTGATGTTTCTTTCTCCTTTGTTTTTTCCTATTGGGAAAAAGCAAATCAGAAACAAATATCTGTACATAGCATCAATGTAACATAAACAAAATGTTACATATGTGTTAAATATAGAAACATCAAGATGAATAGTAAAATAATTTTTATTTATGTATTTAATTTCTTTAGTAACCATTTTGTTTTTATGATTAATAAATACATAAATTAAAAAAACTACTTATCAAAAATGAGGCAGGCACCTTCTTGTTACATTGTTCAATATATAGCAACAATGTAACAAAAACCTGCATGCATGCATGCATGCATAAATGGATTTTTTTTAAAATAAGTGTTTTATTTTTTTTAACCAAACAAAACAAACATAAAACATCTTCAGTTACATAGTGTGTCAGTTGGTACAAAACACTTGTGCACAATCTCTGCAGTCTTTCCCTTCCAATTTGCATTAATCCTTATATCATAAATCCACTATATATATATTTGTATTACTATTATTAATTACTTACTAGACTTTACTAATATTACATCATTTATGCGAGCAAATCACCATTTTTACTTAATCTACTTTATAATGTTCATTTCATCACCACCAATCTACTTTACCTTACCTCTGTAATTATATTATACTTATATCATAAAGTATTGTAAAATATTTCATAAATGAAAATTGTTTTGTTGCACTGCTGTTACATATTGATACTTAAATATCAACAAGAACAGCAGAGTAATAGAAAAATTATTTAAATTTCTTTGTATTGGCTTATTTCTAATTTTGTTAATTATATCAACATGTTTATAATTATCAACCTTCTGTATTTAATTCATACATAGCAATGATCATTCTCTGCCTAATTTCTACCTCTTATCTCTATCCATTTCTGCACATTGTAATTTTTTAATTTCATTTTCATCTATGAGGATCTCTTGGTTTGTGCAAACATAATTCTAGCTGCTGTTAACACGTGTAACATTAAATATGTATTGTACTCCCTTTATTTATGTGGGTACCAACAAAAATATTTCTGGTTTTAAAATTTAAATCTATATGTTGCTTTACCATTTTTGCTAGCCTTGACACTACATCCTCTTGAATAGCTACACTAGCAGAGCCCAATACTGAATTCATATATTCCAGTTTTTTAAACTGAGGAATAAATTTCAGAAAAAGAATTCAGTATTGCTCTGTGAATGTGCCTATCAATTCCATTCTTAATCTAACTTCTTAGATGATTTTGTACTATTATCTTTATTTTGTACTATATATATCTGCATAAGGCTGTAAAAAGCTTCAGTACATTTTAACCTGCATTCTAAAAAGGTTAGGCGACCAAACATGGCTTCCCCTGGCTTCTCTCTCTCTGCTATAGAGAGAGCATTCCATTAGGGACTGTTGGTCCAGGTAAGTAGCCTTGGCTAGGAAAGATTTTTGTGCCACTACTGGCACAAAATAGCAAACTCCCCATAGCTCCTCATAGCTGCCCGAGCCTCGCCTTGCCCTCCCCGTAGCTCCTCGTAGCTGCCTGGGTCTTGCCCAGCCTTCCTTGTAGCTCCTCGTAGCTGCCCGAGCCTCACCTTACCCTCTCCAGGGTTCCTCAGGACTTGGAAACTGGCAAAAAACACTTGCTAAGAAACTGGCCATTAAGCAAGGACCTGGCCATTCAGCGAGGACCACTTAAATTTGGTTTGCCAGTCACATGGCCACCTGACCTGCCCTCCCCAGAGTTCCCCAGGCCTTGGAAACTGGCAAAAAACACTTGCTAAGCAACTGGCCATTAAGGGAGGACCTGGTCATTAAGCAAGAACCACTTAAATTTGGTTTGCCATTCACATGGCCACCTGCCCTACCCTCTCCAGGACTCCCTTGGAAACTGGCCTTGGAAACTGGGAAAAAACACTTGCTAAGCAACTGGCCATTAAGCGAGGACCACTTAAATTTGGTTTGCCAGTCACATGGCCACCTGCCCAGACCTCTCCAGTCACATGACCACCTAGCCATGCCCAGTCAAGAAGCCACTCCTACCCCAGTCACATGACCACCAAGCCACACCCACAAATTAGGTCACGCCCACAGAACCGGTTGTTAAGAAATTTGAATCCCACCCCGATTTAGTTCATGAATTCTAGTCAGTTCTCCAAATAACTTTTGCCTTTTAAAAAGAAATGACTTACAGAGTGAAAAAAAATATTAAGAAATGTCATTAGTGAAATTCACAGGATTTTTTTTACCAAACTCTTTTAACACCGATTAAATTACAGAAACTCTTTCCTTTCTGATACTAATGACTAAAACTTCCACCTGTAAGGAGCAGAAGTCAATCTAACAAAAATGAAAACAAAAGTTCACTTCATATATTTTATAGATGATTCAAATACCCAAGGTAAATTGCACTAAAAAATACCTAAGTGCCATTAAAAAAAACTTTTGCTGCCCTCATTCATTACCTTTGGATTTAAAGATTATGTAATGAACTAAGTCCAGTGGAAGAAGATGAAAAGGATGAAACTGCTTTATAAAATCCTCATCTGAAAGCATCCTTGACTTAAGACAATTGAGCCCCAAATTTCCATGGCTCAGTAAGGGAGTTTTTAAGTGAGTTTTGTCCCATTTTATGACTTTTTTCCACAATTGTTAAGCAAATCATTGAAACTGTTAATTAAATCATGCATTTGCTAAGTGAATCTGGCTTCCTCCATTGACTTTGCTTGTTGAAAGCTGGCTGGGAAGAATGACAAGAATGACATTTCAAACAAGGTTGAAAATGACAGACCAATCTCTTTATCACCTGCAAAGTCATGGAATCAATTATTAACCAATCCATTATCCTCCACTTAGAGACAAACAACCTACTCTCTAACAAACAATTTGGTTTCAGAAAATCCTGTAATCTGCAACTCTTACACTGTAAAAACATGGACTACATAACTTGATCAGGGCAAAACACAATTTACATAGACTTCTGTAAAGCCTTTGATTCAGTGGTACACAACAAACTACTCCTAAAACTAAAATCTTATGGTATCTCTGGATACCTGCATAACTGGATAGAAGCATTCCTGTCAAATGGTCAAAATTGGGAGTATCCTATCAAATCCTGTACCTGTCAACAGTGGTGTCCCCAAGGCAGCGTTCTAGGACCAACTCTCTTCATACTCTACATAAATGACCTCTGTGATCATATTAAGAGCAACTGCGTTCTTTTCGCTGATGATATAAAACTATCCAACACCACTGACGATACTGCTACCCTTCAAAAAGACCTCGACTATGTGTCAGAATGGTCAAACAAATGGCACCTTCAAATCTCAACAAATAAATGCTCTGTCTTACATATTGGCAAAAAAAATCAGAAAATAAAATACAAGCTGAATAGTCAAGACCTTGTTGATGACACAAACTTTGTCAAGGACCTTGGAGTACTCATCTCTAATGATCTAAGCGCTAGAGCCCACTGTAACTACATAGCCAAAAAGGCATTAAGAGTTGTTAACCTAATCCTACGTAACTTTTTCTCTGGTAATATCACACTATTAACTAGAACAAACAAAACATTTGCTAGACCAATACTTGAATACAGCTCATCAGTCTGGAACTCGCATTACATATCTGATATTAATACAATTGAGAAAGTCCAGAAATATTTTACGAGAAAAGTCCTCCACTCCTCTACTCGTAGCAGAATACCTTATGCCACCAGACTTGAAATTTTAGACCTAGACAACCTAGAACTACGCCACCTTTGGTTTGATCTAAGTATAGTACATAAAATTATATATTGCAATGTCCCACCTGTCAATGAATACTTCAGCTTCAACCAAAACAATACAAGAGCACACAATAGATACGAACTCAAGATAAACCACACCAAACTTGATTGCAGGAAATACGACTTCAGCAACAGAATAGTCAATGCTCTACCTGACTCTGTGGTTTCTTCCCCAAACCCTCAAAACTTTAACCTTAGACTCTCTACTATTGACCTCATCCCTTTCCTAAGAGGTCTGTATAAGTGCACAAACGTGCCTACCATCCCTGTCCTATTGTTTCTTTTTTTCTTATTCGTATCCATTTCATGTATTTATAACCATGTTTATACTTATACCTGTTATCTAATAATTGTTTGACAAAATAAATAAATAAATTTGTTAAGTGAATCTGACTTCCTCCATTGACTTTGCTTGTTGAAAGCTGGCTGGGAAGAATGACAAGATACATATTCTAGCTGCTAATGGAAGCCAAACCAATTGAAACTACCTTTCACTTCAGCAGAGGAAAAGATAAAATTTCAGTTCCATTTAGGAGCAATTAAAAATACCATCCCATTTTAAAACAGTAAAAATCTGTTCTATTTTTCTGTCAAAAAGAAAGACAAAGGAGCAGGATTATTATGTTAATGACGGCAGCAAAAATAATGTCACTATTTATTTCGGCAGAGCTTAATTTATTAAATGAACCAAATGTAGTGAAGGTTTGCATCACATCCAAAAGACATCCAGAAGCCTTTCACTTTGTTTTGCAGTGGGCCAAAACAACTTCACACTATCGCTATTCAACTGTCTATTCATCTATCCTTCCTCTCGCTTCCACAGATGAACCTGAACACCTGTTAAGGAACGTCCGGGCGCCTATCTCGCGCAGTCCACTGGGCAAGCGGCTCCCCTTGCAGTTACATGCCCGCCGCCTCTCCCGCCCGGCGTCCTCCACATTCCCAAAGGCAATCGCCTTTCCTTTGTGGCTCGCTCGCCTTGCCCTCGAATGGAAACAGCAACCGTTCCTCGTGTTTACTTGCGCTTACCAAGAACCTTGTGGAGCTGGTCCCTTGGTCGATGGCTCCCACTAGGGGACCCATCGCTCCCTTCTGGGCCACAACCGCGGCCATAGGGAGGCTCGGTCGTCGTGCCCCTGTCCCGTTTCCTAGGCGACCCTGCCCGAGCAAGAAGCAGCAGAGAATCCAGAGGCTCTCACACCGGCGCCCTCAAAGCCAAACGCGCATGGCTTCTCAAAGTAGAGACTGAAGGCGGAGAACAGGGCGCTGGCCCACATGCTGCCGCTCGAGCGCCAATCAGCAGGCAGATTGGAGCAAAAGAGGGCGGGGTTTTCCACCGAGCGCAGGAAATAGGTGAAAGGTTCGGGAGTGGACAATTGCCTCTGAGTCGGTTGATCACATGCCTCTGACGTGTCTGGTGGGCTGAAACCTGAAAGGTTAACTCGAGCTTTACTGGAAGTCGCTGTCTTGGATTGCAAAATGTTGGGGAGAGAATCATTGCCTCCTTGACAGGAATTTAGAACGATTTCCGCGTTCCTCTGCCTATTGTGAAATAATTCGTCATTCCAGTCCGTCAAGAGGCAACGCGATCTCCCTTTCTCCTATGCTGAAAGTTACAAATCTTTGCACGTTTACTTGGCAGTAATCGTTGCCATTAAAAAATCTTTACGACTTTTTCTGGTGAGCAAGCGAGGAGCTCTACTTTAATTCCTGAAATGTCATCAAAGGTTGTGTAAAAGGTTGAAGTTTATCCCATATTTATATTTTTGGATATAAGCATTTCTACAGCATGCGATCAAGAATAGTTAAACAGATCAGAATTTGGAAAAATGAAACATTTCACAGCATGCACCGTTACTGAGGATAGTATTCTGAAACAGAAAGCAATAACACTTGTCCCCATTCGGCCACCTCTAATCCCTAAAGAAGATTTTTGCAAAGCTTTCGTATGAAAATCATTTCTCAACTAAAAGACACATTTTAGCAATGAAAGATGAGTTTAACTGGCTTTATTCCTAGAAAGGTGACTTTAGGAGCTGCAAATTCAGGATGTGATCTTATAATTGTCCTTAAAATTAAGCACATTTATAAATGTGTACTATTTATATATTAAGAAAACAGACTGGTAGGAATAATTTGAGTCCCACTATTTGAAATAACATAGGCTATTCAACCAATTGATGTGATTAATGCTAAAAAAGGAACTACAAGGTAACTAAGCATGCAGATACTGCAAAACTGTTACAACATTCTGAATATTGCTACATCTCAAGACTACCAGGTACTGTAGGGTTAATTTTGATCGTGATGTATACTGAAAATCACAAAACTATAGCTTTCCACCTTTGTTTAAACAAATGAGAGCACATACTTATTAAACCCAACAATAAGGCTTTTTATTTCATTTTGAGAACAAGGGCAATCAAAACTAGACATGTTCAAACAAAATGCTGTTCAGAATTGCTTAAGTTTCTTGCTCCTATTTAAAAATGTTTCAGTGCCTAAGAAGAAGGCATTTGATAAATCAAGAGTAATATGATGGCACTGTAGCTAAAGTAGATAACTACTTCCCTAAACTTGAATTAGTCAGTCCCACATTTTACTGTTTTAGCAATAGCATTTGTTGCCCTCACAGAACATGGAATTTTAGCATTTGTTTACATTCCACCACTAATGATTACATCTTTAAATCCCAAGATAGACAAATTACTATATAGCATTTTGCCAGTATTCAAAGCTTTCTATTTCATATTCTATTCTATTCTATTTCTATTTCAAAGAAAATAGTGCAATTGTAATAAAGTCTTATATCAGGGTTTTTCACAGAATTAACTATTCACTGTTATGTTCCTACCCATATCTGTTACAGAAGTAGAGGATACTTGTTATATGTTGTGGACCAGCAGTCGCCAACCGGTGGCCCGCTGCCCACTGGTGGGCTGTGAGAAAATTTTGGTGGCCCACAGAGAAATCTCACCCCCAGAGCACCCCACATGAAGCAATTAATCCAGGCTGCACAGAAACACAAGGCTGCGCTCCCCACATGGCCCGCGGGAATCCTCCCCACCAACTCACTCCTTACCCGGCAAACTTGCCTGCTAAATTGCTATTTTTCCTTTTTCCGAACATCAGCTGTTCTGTTGTGCCAGGAAATTTAGATTAGTTAGGAAGCAGGAAGTGGTTGGATTTCTTGCTTTCTAGCTAGTCTTTAGATCTTCGGCTCTGCTTTTAAGTACAGCCAAACCTCCCTTAGAACTGAAGGTTCTATTATTTAGTACAGACTCACGGCAAGCAAATTTGAGAAACTGGGCTAGCCGATGGCAGATAGATACAGAGGTGGTATTCAGCTGATTCACACTGGTTCTAGCGACCCAGTAGCAAGAATTTGGCATGGGTCGTGGAACTGATAGCAACTTTTGGCTGGCCACGCCCCCGAACTGATTCCCCGGTCGCTCAGTTGCCCCACCCACCTGATGCTCACTCGTGCAGCTCGCCCGCCACTTGCCCCACCCAGTCACTCCTCCCTTCCTATGTGGCATACTGGGCCCTTGTGGCTTGCCTAACCTGACTTCCCCACGTGGTGCCTGCACCCCAACTGAGCAGCCATGATCTGCCTGCCCTGCTCACAGGTAAGCCTGTGTTGTGCTAGGCCCTCGCCCACCCCCTGGGGCCTTTCCAGGCCTCCCCCCACACCCGGGACTTTCCAGCCCCAACCCCAGCACAACAGAGAAAGAAAATGGAAAGGCTTTCCATTCGTTTTCTCCCTGTCTTTCGGGGTGCCCCTGCAGCTGCCACCGCCCCTCTCAGCCTTAGATCCAGCGCAGCAGAGAAAGCAAACGGAAAGGCTTTCTGTTTGCTTTCTCTCTGCCTTTTGGGGCACCCCCACCCGCCGCCTCCACCTCCACCCCTCTCAGCCCTAGCCCCAGTGCAGCAGAGAAAGCGAATGGAAAGGTTTTCTGTTTGCTTTCTTCCTGCCTTTCAGGGCACCCCTGCTGCTGCCACCGCCCCTCTTAGCCCCAGCCCCACACAGCAGAGAAAGCAAACAAAAAGGCTTTTGCTTTGCAAAAAATGGAATGGCTTTCTGTTCACTTTCTCCCTGCCTTTCGGGGTGCCCCCACCCACCTCCACCACTGCCGTCACCCATGTGCCTCGAAAGGGAGGGTGGATGGATGTTCTGGGGCTGCTGTTTTCTTCATTGTCCTGCCGCTCACTCCTCTGGAGTTTGCCCAATAAGTTCTTCCCAGAAAAGGTGTGTGTGTGTGAATCAAGGGAGGAAAGGGAGGAAGGAAGAAAGGGAGGAAGGGAGGAAGGGCAAGAAGGAAAGAGCAAGAAAGGAAGAAAGAGCAAGAAAGAAAGAGGAAGGGAGATAAAGAAATAAAGAGGAAAAAAGAAAGAGAAAGAAAGAAAGATAGGAAGAAAGAAAGAAAAGAAAGAAAGAAAGAAAAGAAAGAAAGAAAGAAAGAAAGAAAGAAAGAAAGAAAGAAAGAAA